ACGACGGCAGGGCGGCGGGGACAGCACCTTGGAGGGAAGTTCTCACAATGGACACGGCAGAGGTAGTTGCGGAAGCAGTGGACTGGATGAGTTCAGTTCATTGTCGCTTTCTGTGGAGTAACTCTAACCGGGAGGTCCTAAGGTTCGAGTCCCGGCGGTGGCGTGTTTTCGACCCTAGCTATACACCTATGTTCCGCTGCTGTATGGATGAGAATTATAGAAACTGGCTGCTCAGATCGACTTTTCCGTTATTTCTCTGATCAACACTTGGTGAATGCCGGAGCAGAACCTTAACAAACGGACTACCGCGCGCGATATTTCCTTCCTCTTCCTTGTCCTCTCCTCACCTCTTAGTGTCACACACACACATACACGCGGTTCACTACTACATGACAAGAGACCTGTCGGAAACTTACAGCTTGTCCTGACAGGAGCAGCGTCTCTCTGACCCATAATGTGCCCAAGTGTATCCCAAGAGTGAGGTCTACACAAATGTCCCAGCTAAAGAAGACAAAATGACATTAAAAAAATGTTCTTAAAAACGGACCCACGTTTTTATAAAACAGTTCTGTTCCGTTGTTAATTTACATATGCTTTTCTGTGTTAACCATTCATGATATCTCCCTATGTTTTCCTCATTCTTTTCCAAACTACGATGGGTAGCTAGAGGTATAACTTTAAATAGTCCGACGTACAAGGCACACTTAGTACCTTGAGAACTTTTTAATCGAACTTTTAAATTGAAATATTAAGGGTACAATTTTGAACCAATTATCATAATAAAAAACAAGTTAAATTATCCGTTAGAGAACAAAACATGCTAATTCTTACAATAAAGTAGAAAAAAAACATGCAAAAATGTAATAACCTAAAGTACAAGGATCTCTCTTACACTTTAAAGTGAAATCTCCAGGCTATTAACTGAATCGGATTGAATGGAAAATATCCATTTTTGAAAAATCCCACTTGATGGCAAAAGGCGGTAGTTTTGAGTTTTGTTTTCACGACTACTATTCTTCATAATGTATAATATCTTCAGAACCACACAATATCCTTAAATTACATTGGTATCACCAAGAATTTAAATCTATTGAGACAAAATCATGTAAATAGAGGTTTATTTGCAAACGTTATGGCTGAACAAACACTTAAAAAGTGTATACTGTAAATTGTGTGTCTTTTTAAAAATCGGTTAAAAATACACGGTAATGAATTTGTTGCTACTAATGTAAACTTCTATGATCTACTTTTGAACCCTAATAAAGTTCGTTTACGAAGAACCTTCCGGTATGCAAATTTACGGGAGTTTTAAGATTACGAATTGTTTGTCACATAGGGAACAAGAAACTCCCGAAAGGATATCCAACTCCCGGCGGACAAATGACACTCACCAACTCCTAGACGTGACAACGCCGCGGCGCGCCGTCTTTTGTTCCCTGCCCGAGCTTCCGTTCTCGCAGGGATGAAGCCTGGCTCTAATATGGCCACAACGTCACTGCTGACGATGCTCATCTGTCTGGTCTCGAGAACAATTAAGCATCAGGCAGCGTGAACAATTTCCTTCAAGGCAGACGTTTGCATTGTCGAGTGGAGAACGTAATATCTCGCCTTGGAAGTACAATTCAGTGTCTTAGAGTAGACATGGAGTGTTCCCAGATGCAAATTCGAAATAAATATTGAATATTAAACTGAGGACTAGAGATGTAGGGTAAGCTGTGGTATACAATTCAGTTTCTAGCAGCTGCCACTAGATACAACGTTTCCGCTCACTGTCATAAATTTTGACCAGAAACTGTATTCATGAGTAATATTGCAAATGCAATGGTCGTGTGGGGGCGGGGAGTCTCCCTCACCAACATTTCCAGATTGATTAATGGGCACAATTAATAAAATTGTCTAAGAACATTTCACCTTATATTCAAATATATTTTTAACTTTTTGGATTCCTATCGGATAATTATATATAAGTGTGAAAACTTTAAACCACTAATCAAGACAAAGTGGTACGAAAAGTCCTCCTTTCCATTCGAAGAAACTGATTTTAATATTTTCTCGGATGCGCCTGCCACGCGAGGGGCGCAGCCGCTCCCAGATCGAGCTGAGGTCACATTGTCACATCGGTTGCCGGCGACAGGTCGACCCACGCGGCACGTTCGCCATATCATATTCCTTTCAATGTACGCAACGCATGAGAATGTGTGTCTTAAAATATAGTATATCCACAGGGCCGGACTTAAGTAGTGCGGGGCCCCAAGCACAAAAGTGTGATGCCCCCCCCGAAAAAATAGGTCAATGTTTATTAAATAAAAAATGTATTATAGTGCAAGTACTTTCTGTACAGATACAAATGAAAAATGATAATTTTTATACACATTTTTACTTGTGTTACATTTTTTTACATTAAATACATTTTACATTTTTTTCTGCTCTTCACCGCAGAAAATTGGTCGATGATGTCTTCGAAACGAAGATTTCTCAGCTTGTCATGCTCCATACTCAGGATACTTAGGTCTACTAAATTTTCTTGAGACATAGTCGTACATAGATAGTTTTTTATCCGTTTCAGTTTACTGAATAACCGTTCTCCAGTACAGTTTGATATCATCAAGCACAAGTACATTCGTCATAAATTTTTATTTGGTCTATATAGGCCTCCTCTTTTGTCCTGAGGGCCCCCATAGCTGTTAATTTGAGCATGGAAAATTTTGAGGTTTGCCAAAAAAATTCACATATTCAGTTATAAATAAAGGAAAGAAAGTATCGTTAATATTAGACTAATTTGACATGTAATAAATATTTTTAAAATATGTTTTGAAATTGTACATTTTGTTACACAGTAGACTACTTGATTAACAATTATTTCACAGACAAAAAAATATGGTATGTGTATGTTTCTGAAACGCAGGGCCCCTGGTGAATGGGGGCTCCCAAGCAACTGCTTGTTTTGCTTGTAGGTAAATCCGACCCTGTATATCCGCACACTTTGCAAGAACTGAGAACTCAGTTTAATGTGTGGATGTTGGGCGACTGCTTTTGAGCGGTGAATTTTTTCTCTTTTGTTCCCTCCACAGTAACCCTGTGGAGAAAGGGAATTTATTTCCTTTAAATTATTTACAATAAACTGCTGCCTTGCGACTTAAGCAACTAGAGGAGGGGCTTTTTCTTACAGCTAAGTTTTACATACTAATCCTAAAGTTACACTTACTTGCACTTTGGCATTACTAACTTACACTAAGATCGGTTTTGTTAATTCTATAATTCTACAGAGTTTGTTATTTTATGGACGAGATATTTTTTTCTTCTTTTCGCTACATTCACACATCATTAATACTTGTTTCAGCTAGAGGAGGGGCCTTTTCTTATAGCTAAGTTTTACATACTAGTCCTAAAGTTAACTTACTTGCACATTGGTATTACAAACTTACACTAAGATCTGTTTTGTTAATTCTATAGTTCTACAGAGTTTATTATTTTACGGACGAGATATTTTTTTTCTTCTTTTCACTACATTCACACATTATTCATCCTTTTTTCATTATATACATGAGCATTGAGCGGTGAAGGTGACTCTTGCAACCTGACCAGAGAATTGATGAAGAAAATTAATATTTATAATAATAATAACTAATATTTAAAAATGATTTAATTTCTCATTTTTTGCTTTAAATTATTTTTTAACTAGACTCTTCTGAATGTACAGCCTCCATGTTACAATAGTTTAATTAGGTTACATTACGAACGAGACATTTATTATCAATTTTATCAATCTATCCAGAAATGAGGAAGTTGTAATTCTACCCTGTTTACTTGAATCGAAAATCCAATCGCCGATGTTTAGGGTTAACAAATTTCTCCATCACTAATTCATTGGAGTTACTGGTTTAACGGATAAGTGACATTTCTATTAGTATTTGACAGGATTCCGAGAGCGCATGATCGCTCGGTTATCATTATTTTTCTATGAAATGTTTTTATATACTTTATGGTTGAAAATAATCGTTTAGGTTCTGAAGTCATTGGAGTAGTAAGAAGAATTCGAAGACATTTGCAAACCTCTGGAAAAATGTCTTCCGACATTTCATTTTGCAGCATTACTTGAAGTACCGCTCATGTTGTATTTCTAAAGTAGCTTCTCTTGTACATTACTTGCAACAGCGTTCTGTACTGAATTTAACTTTGATTTTTAAAGCACCGTCAATGGTACTATCAAAATCCACTAACTCTCGAAATATCCCAGGATTTTCCGATTGTTCACTTTCGTCGTATACTCACAACTGAGATGAGTACCACAAAATGTGACAGTTTATACTTGTCTAAAATATGTCTGTTCTTACGCACTTCATTGTTGTCGTTTTACAGTGAGACAATAACTGTCACTAAGCCAATTCACAATACTCATGTAAAGTCAGTTCAACATGACTGTTTTTATGGTGATTGCTCTTGATGTTTTTTACGTTTCTCGCTCAAATGGTTCATGTCATTATAACTGGCATTCGTCCACAATTTTTCCTCCTTGCTAAATAAGATGCAAGGAAAACAAAATAGTGCATTTTTCCCGCTCACACACTCGTAGCCACTTGGATATCGAATAAATATTAGCACTGAATCGTCGACAAAACTTTTATTTTGCTGATTTTGCAGTTGTTTCAATTTTCAGAACAGGATGATCTGGACCAAGCTTCTTGATTGAAATAATTGAACACCAGGATGCACGGACACTAAAACGAAAGTGTTATTCGAACCCGAGATGTAAAACACATTCATACATCGATTTTAAGTCCACATCAGATGCACAACTTCGGAGTATCTTATCGGGGACACTGTTTTACTGACGGCGCGACAGAGACGTCGTCTCGGAGTCGGGTGTCGCGATAGCCCGATAAGTGCTGCACCAAGCGGAGTTCACGGTGTAAGTGTGAACATGATTCAATGAAAGCGTCCTACGAAAACTCAGAAGCGACGTCACTTGGAATCCAACGTTCCTTATGGAACGAGGTCTGAGCAAGTTGTTGTTTCGAAAATGAGAACAGCAACGTAGCCACATCGGTCTGTCAATGCAGTACTGGTATGGAAATTGTAAAAAGAGGAGCTGCAAAAAGTCACACTATTATTGAGATTGTAATGACGAAGTGTAACTCCCTAATTTTCATATCTGCAACGTATTGAAACATTTTGCAAATCATACTTATAGAAAATCTATGAACAAAATACACAGTTTATTCCCAAAACCTTCTTTTAAATTAGTGTTCAGTAATCCAAGAAACACGTATGTACCTAGTTTTAAGAAAAACGATACCTTTTTTGCTTTTGGTCTGACACATTGCCTTTTTTAATTTCAAAAATCCGACTTCAGATACGTCTTCAGCGATCCCCAAACCCTCTATTATCAACTTTTAATTCCAATAAACCGAATAATAATAGAGTTAATAGAATAATTTTATTGTATTTCGCTAATAATTTTATTACATTTCTAGCAATGGTACAGATAAATAGAAAATTATTTTATTTTATAGTTTACGAAAGTTGGTCAAATCAAAAATCGAAGTGTCCACGATTTTCTTCTCTCTCTTTACATTGCTGTTTATCTATTTAGTTCCCGAGTTACGTCGTTCCAACGCCTTCTGTCAGAAATGTAGCCCTGGTTATACATAGTCCATATTTGGAACTACCAATATTTTTCTTAGTGATTTTTTATCTCTGTGGTATCCAGTATTTGACTTGCTTGTACTGTTTGTAGCATAGTTTCGGCTACGTAAGTAAGTATTGAACGTACCACAGATTTGTATTTACTTTAGGTTCGATGTGAAGGTATTTATTTCTTCATTTTGTGTTGTTAGGGTAGCCCGACATTTTATTTCCTATAATGTTTCTTATTTGATACCGTTGAACAATAATATCTGATTATCTAGATAACGAATATCTGAAATATATCTATTTATCTGATACGGATGAACCTACATATATCAGTACCCAGGTACTGGAAAGCTACTTTTTCGATCATTTAAAAATAATCAAACTTATCCCTTATTGATGTTTTGCTTACGACTAGTGGTTATGTTGACTTGTATGGTATGGTCGACTTTTTAAGACCAAACATTTGACATCATAGCTAAAACCAATCGAGCAAATTTGTAAATTGTCATCTCATTCTGCAATTGGCCCCTCATCATAAGCATTGCATACCAGCATAATGTATTTATTCTGCATTCTGTAACCTGTAAGATAATTAATTTATTTCATTGTCTCATCCAATATTGTAATAAAAAATTGGAGGCTCAAAGAATCTCCCCGACGAACTTTTTTCTTAACGAAACTACAATATACGCGAATTTCAATGTTTTGAATGAAAATATTTTTGTCCATATTTTTTCCAATTCGTACCATAGTGCTTAGTTCATGCACAAGGATGAGGTACTACGCGAGAGAGAAGCCCCATCTCGCAGAATCTGACGTCCTATTGATGGAAATTAATTAGTTTTGAAGCTCTGCCCACGACGGGCTGTAATTTTCTC